GTTTGCGAGGCTGGCAATGTAGAGTGGCTAAGTGCAGACAGTATCAGAATAGCGTATCGGGACGCTTCAGAGTGGAAAGCATTGAATGGAGCGTTTTTCGATCTGCTCAGGGAGTGTGGCATTCCATTCAGCGTCCTGTCCCATGCTATCAAAGATTTGGGGCAGAGAGTAGCACTGGTGAGCCGCTTTCTGGAGAACGACAAGAGTAGGCTGTATATGGAGCCTGTTTCTCTCTGAATCTATCCATGTTGCATGATCAAGCCTTGAAGCTTTCCCCAGGGTTATTCTGTTATGGTTTCCAGCTGAATTTACGCATCTGCATCCTCTATCATTTGGGTCTCTTTGACCATCTCCTGCTAGAATTTGTAAGCAAGGGGTGATAAAAGAATAGAGTCTCATGTATGAGTGTATTCTTGTGCGTATGTACAAGTGCGTGTCTGAGCTCTGAAGTAGTCAGATGCATTCGTCATGTGATGTAGGTGCTAGGCTTACGAAATCTAAGCTTTCGAATGCTTCAAGCTGCAAGATGCTAAAACCACGCAAGCTCTGGTAGCTTCCCTCTTGGAAAAGAGAGCGGCGCGCTTGGGGTTAGCATCGATGCTGTCGAAAGCGCTCACAACAGGATACGCCTTCTGCGCGAAGCTTGTCTGTTCATGTCACAGTATTAGCGCTGGCCGTAACGCCGACGCTAATGCATCCAGTTGTTGACTGGATGCGAGCGCTAACAGCAAGTGGCGGCTGGTTCCGCGCCCTCTACCTTAGATCGGCTCTAGCTTGGAAACGGAGGCGGATTGGCTTGCGCGTCCCATCATGTAGCCCCCGCAGTCGGCTTGAGCTGCACCGGGTGGCGGGATAACGTTGGCCCCACCAACGCACAGAAGCAACAATCAAGCTAAAAGTGTTCGTGATGCAGTATACCTATGGAGACAACGCCTCAGAGCAGGCTCTGGATGTTGTGATTGAGGGCGCTGACGGCAATGAACGCCCAAACGTTGTCGGTCGTGTGTCTACTCGCAGAATGTCTGATAGCGATACCAAAATTGGCTGACCAGTGTCATGAATTGCGCCGTTGGCAATACAATGTTGATCAGGCGAGCTGATGGAGATAGGAAAGATACCTCCAACGTCGCAAGATTAGCTGGCAGGGTACGTGCCATCCAAGCAGTAGTCGAAGCGCTCCTGTCTCGCTGCAGCGTTGGGAAGAACGTGAGCCGCGCGCTATGGGGATGTAAAGTGGACTGGCGTGGCACAGACAAGCAAGTCTCACCGGTGTATGCGCTAGCCGAAAGAGGTTGTTTCCACGGGTGCTTGTGGTAAAGACTGCATTGGGAATAGTGCGACGAAGCAAGCCCCAGCACAACAGACACGCCCACACTATTGACAATCACACAGCACTACCTGAACGCTGAAAGTACGCGGCACAAAACGTAAAGCTTTCTTTTTCTGTGCTGATATCAGCTGGACACCAATCAACGCTGAGAAGAAGCACAGGCTTCAAGAGAATAGGCATGGTGGCTCGCGATAGCTGCAATCAAGCACGCTCACCTGCGCATTACAGAATGCGCAGCGCGTATGATGATGCAGACATGCATTGTGGGACATGTAGAAAACATATCACTTGCTGCTGACTCCAGTCTTCTGCATAGCATGTGTCTAACCATTTCATTTTCCCATTCTTCTGTTTCCGAGAAACAGTCTTGTTAAGCAATGGCGCAGATCACGAGTGCTCAGGCCATCGAAAAAATCGTCGGCTACGAATTCCGTTCCAGACATGATGATCTACAGAAAGCGTTAAGAGCAGCAGGAGCTGTGGAGGAAGATTGGAATGGAAATAGAAAGTTGGCTCAGCTCGGCACTGCGCTTAGTGAGTTCTTATTGAACTACCTAGCTTTCGAGGCAGGGGTCACACGAGGTAAAGGATAAAGCATATTCGATGCGAAAGATGGCTAACCTCTATCGAGCTTACGCCAATGATTTCAAGACGAAAGTAACCAGCAACGAACATCGTGCGTCCATTGCGAGACGAACAGGCATCAGCGACCACATCACATTCAACGAGCAAGAAGGTGCACAATCCGCAAGCGTACTTGCTAAAGCTGTCAATGCAGTGATAGCAGTCATCTTTTTTGACAGTGGACAAGACATCGGCGTTGTCCTGAAGACGATGCGCCACCTTGGGTCAGTAGTCTAGTCTTTTCGGCGAAAGTGCGCTAACGTTATATACCGTCTAGTGTATTCACTCTTGCTGGGCAATCGGTGGACCCTACACTACTATCTCTAGATGAGATTCCGAACTCACTCGATGTGAAATCTCTTGCACAATCTCTGTTTAACATAGATACGAACAGTCATCTGTTGTCGACTGCAGCCAGCAATGACCGAAGCTTCTTGACATGCCCTTCGACCCAGTTAGACTCAACAACAAATCTTCGAACAACAGCAGCCGGACAGTATGTTTTTGGAGAAGTGCCAAATGGTAGCCAACGGTTTCTTATTCAGGACGACTATGTCGAGGACGTAAATGTGGAATCCGCAGCAGACTATCCGCTTGATGCAGGCGTACGAACCGCAGTTTCCATAGTATCAGAAGGAGAAGGAGCGGCGGGGAGATGTGACACAATTAGAGCTGCAGGCCAACCTGGAAAACCTACGGGGAAACGGGGTGACATCGATCAGGGTGAGTCTGGGCATAGAAGAAAGCTTCGAAGACATGACACTCCTTCAAGTGTTGATCTGTTCCGAACGTATTTGGCAGAAGAAGAACGGAAATGTGAAGCGTGGGGGCACCAAACTCCGCAAGACACTTTTCTTACTCCTCCCATACAAAGGGCGATTCATAATCTGAGCAAAGGGAAGACAGAAGTAATGACGAGGATTCTGATACATATCGGCAGTCCCTGCCTGATAGGTGGATTGCAAGACATCCTGGATTCATGCAAGACTCAAGAGAGGTGCATGGCCTCGGAAGCCATGGGTATGGTTTCGAGAGCTGAGAGAATTCGCCTGATCGTCAGTCTGGGACATACCATGTCTCGTTCCCAGCTGATCCGAAGATACCACGTCCTTCAATTGTTCAAGGACTGTGGTGGCCCGGATACCTTAAGACGGGAAATAGCCGTGACCCCATCCAGCCTGACACAACGGTCAGGCAAACGAGGAAACCCGCTCAATAGGTCGGTCGCCGACTTGACCGCGAGGATGATGCAAGAAGCCTTTCCGGCTGTTGACCCTGGTACGAACGAGTACAAAACAAAGTACCGGTGGATCTCAGACACGAGGAGGCTTGGACAGCGCTTGCATATGCTGGAGGCAAGATTCGGCGAAGGCGTCCTAGGCCTCATGTTGGATCAGGGTGTCGCCGGTACAGATATCGGTATCACTGATAAGATGTGAGTAGAGTCACAGCCAATCTCGAATCATTAGTGACTGTGACGCAGGATCATGACTTTAGATGATGCCGAGTACGCTGAGTTCCTTGACATCTTGGACAAGTCTCAGGGCGATCTACTCCGCGGTCTCGGTAGGGCTGTTCTTCCCACTGTGCAAGCTCTGACTCTTGGAGGTGTGCACGAGTGGAGACTTTTCGATGCGGGGAAGACGACGGTCGATGACATCATAAACTATCCCAAAGGCTCATCGGTGTTTCTGGAGCTCATCAACAAAGCAGTTTAGATCACAAATGTCAGCCTCATGAGTACCTTGTTTGAGCATATCAAGTGAAGCAGGCTCAACTCGAGCTAACGCTGGTGTTAAGAATGCGCCGCGATCTGTCACTAGTTGCTCTACATCCTGTGATGATCGCCAAGTCTGCAGCATGTCGTGACATCACTGCACTGTCCGTTCATACGTAGACTACAAGTCCGAAACAAGCTAGGAGGTCGGGTAAGCGCGCCCCACATCGTCAGACACGACCCCACCTCCAGTCTTCCTAACATCACATCAGATTGCACGCTCTACACAGTTCTTGACACAAACTTCTGCACACTCCATGGACGACACGATACAAGATTCAGTCAACGAACTACGGGTGCGCTCGTACCAGGCTGAGATGCTCAAGCGTAGCTTGGAAGGCAACGTCATCGTTGTGGTGCTGCTCCTGCTTGTTGGGAGACAAAACTCGTGCTTACTGAATACAGATGGATACTGGTAGTGGAAAAACAGCTATGTGAGCCAGTCTGCGGGAAGTGAGAAGCTTGCTGATTTTCGCCACACAGAGCTGTACTTCGTATCCGAGAAGAGTTAAACTGCTGCCCAGCAGAAAAGGCATGTTCTCAAACCAAAAGACGCACGCAATGCTCACAGATTGAATAGTTGACTTTCAATAGCTTGTGTGGTTCATGGCTCCGACTGTAGCCTTATGCACGCAGCAGCATGTCTACTTGCGCTCCTATCTACCAGCAATCAGAACGCAGGTCCTGACTGGCGCAGACAACGTAGACCGCTGGAGTGAACAAAGTACTTGGGACTCCGTGCTAGACGGTGTTCGCATCGTCGTCTCGACCCACGCCGTACTAGAGGATGCGTTGAGCCACGGCTTCATAGCCATGCGTCGCTTGGCACTCCTCGTCTTCGATGAAGGTAATCGCACCTTCCGCTACAAAAGTTCAGGCTGATAGTCTCAGCTCATTCATGTGTCGGCGGGCACGCTGGAAATAGGATCATGAGAAATTTCTACTATCCGACTAAAGCAAGATCCGGCGTTGTGCCGCATATCCTGGGTCTCTCTGCCAGTCCAATCCTCAGATCGAACCTGAAGGGACTAAGGTGAGCACGTGGATGGAGTCGAGTCTCAAGTCATGCTTACAATGTCAAAGCAGCATCGAAGCCAATCTTGATGCGACATGCGTCACTCCACGACTACACCGACAGGACCTTCTCAAATTTGTTCATCATCCAAAAGTACAGAGGCTTGAGTTTCCCCCGTGCCAAATTTCGGAAACGTCCAACACGGGTCATGTGCTTTCGAAACTTCGCAGACTAAGTGAGAGGTTGTCTCTCGGACAAAGAACATCAGGTGCTCCCTCAGTACTGGACCCCAGTTCGACTAGAGCTGGCAGATCGACTTCGCAAGGATCGTTCACGGACTTCTCTGATCAGATCAGGAAGTTTTACAACAAGGCGATACA